TTTTAACTTCCAAACGCTGACCGCCAGACAAACAGCACCGAAGCACAGTTCCCGGGCTCCCACAACACCAAACAGCCTCAGCCACCCAATTAGCCTGCCCTGCGCTCGGCTCCCAAACGAGGTACCGCTGGAGTCACCCGGGGAGGGTGGCCAGGCTCACAACAGAGCACCCCCAGCAAAGCCAATGCCCAGGAACGTTCCCCAGGGAATGGGGACAGCTCTGTGCCACTGCCCACCATCACCCCATCACACCCTCCGGTGCAGGACCAGAGATAACAACCCTGTTCTCCAAGGGTCTGGAAGGATCCACCCCCCTCCCTAATTAGTGCTGAGGAACTGAGGGCTGCCCAGAGCTGGAAGAGCATTCACCCACTCTCACAGTCCAGTTCTCAGCAAATGCACAATGCTGGGGCCAAAGACAGGTTTTTAATCCATTTAAATTAATGGATTAAAGCGGGGAGAGGGAATTAAATGGAGAGGGGTAGCAGGAAGGGTCAGTGCACAAGGGCTACAGAAGAATTTGGAGAGTGAAGCAGCAGGAGCTCCAGGGGCAGGAGGCTCCTGATGACCCCCAGCTCTGCCTGGAGCCACGGAGAACACACTGGAGTCAGCACCTGGGGACAGGGCAGCTCGAGACAAAGAGACCGTGGGGACAAGGAGGACCAGGAGATGCTCTGCAGCATCAGGTGGGACACTGCTCTCCCACACACAGCCCTCGGAGCCAGCGAGCCCCGGGATCCCTGTGCGGGCATCCCTGCGATGAGGCGAGCAGGCAGTGCTCGTGACTAAGTCATTTTGTTTGTTAGGGAAGAAAAAAAAAAAATCAGTCTCCTTTTTCCAAACGAGGACCTGGTCACGGTGCCTTTGATGTCTCACTGCCAGATCGCAGCAGTCTGCTGTGTATAAAGCCACACCAAAAAAATGATTAAACCGGCCACGAGCACTGATTTCAGACGTTAGAAGAGATGAAGCCCAGAAGGTTCTAGAGCTGCCTTCCAACCAGCAGAGCAGGAGGAAAGTATCAGTGGTTTTAAAGCTGGAACGTGACCAGTTTCCAGGTGACTGTGACGCCCTGCAGAGCCACGGTCTCGACTCACTGACCAGGAGACCTCTGTTCTTCCAACACCAGGAATAACACCGGGGCAGCAGCCTGTGAGGAGGCAGCTGCTCGTCAGCCCTTTGCTCTAGATGACCTCAGGCACAGGTGGTTTGAGGGTGAAGTTTAAAGCCCGGGCTCGACCTCCCCAGTTATTCATGGCTCCATTTCCAACCCCCAGAACAGCCTTCCCTGCGGGGTGGCCGGGACCCTGCACCCAGTGAACCCTGCGAGCAGCCTCTCCACGTGCTTCTGGAGGGATAAATACGGTCCAGAGGAAACCGTCTGGCTGAGCATCAAGCATGAACTGCAAACCCCTCTGCTAAGGAAACCCACCTGTGCTGCACAACAACAGCGTTACTCACAGGTGAAACAATCCCCTCTGCCTGAACCTCCTCCGACACAACCATGACCTGTGACAACAACAGTTCAGCAAAACCATAACCACAGCCAACAGAAATGCTGTTGGCCCTTCATTTTACAAAGGGCTGGCTTAGACTCTGCAGTGGGGAATGTTCACCAGGAGCCACACAAGAGAGGAAAACCCACGGTGGGATGCACGGGTAACAGCTGATGAGAATAACTCCTCCTCATCACCCAGTACAAAGAAATGAGACTCCAAAACCAGCACATTGACAGTGTTCCTCATGTCTCCCTGGTTCCCAGGCTGGAGATTCAGTCCTCACTGTGCCTCATCTCTGAACTGTTTCTCCCCATGACCTTGCGATTCCAGTGCTGGTGACTACTGGTTCTCCCTTTGCTTGGGGCGCTCACATCTCATTTCATTTCTCATTATCAGCAACCAGCAGATCAAGGACGGACTCTCCTCTGCTTGAATTCTTAAGCTATCTTACAAATGCAATAACTGTATTGATTATCGCCTTGTGTCATCCACCAGCTACCAGACACAGCACACCGTCAAGACAGACCCCAGCCAGCACCATGCTCTCAAAACCAAACCAACTCCTCCTGGAAAGCCCCAAGGAAACCCGTCACACAACACTCGGTTCAGTGCACCTCTGGCTCTACCAGCCAGACCCTTCAGAAGAACCTTTGCAGGAGCCCATTCACTGTCAACAAGGAACGATGCCTCTGGACATAACCCTGGGTGAAGGTCCAAGGACCCTCTCAAGGGGTTTCTCTGAAGATCACACACCAACAAGCAGCGTTTGCTCTGTGACACCGACAGGGCTGTACACAAACCTTCACATGGCTTGCACATGGGTACAGGGGTACTCGTGTCACTCCACCTCAAAACCTTCTCCGTCTTCGCTGCAATTCTCCAGATAAAACCTGCCCAATGTTCCGCCGTTCTCCTCCTCTCCGATCCTCACTGCTCGCAGCCCCAGCCACCTGAAACCCCCACATTCCATTGCATCCATGGGACGGCCATCCAGTGTCCTCACCCACACATCTTCAGATGAGACACCAGCCCCATCACAGCTTCCAGACCAGCCACCTCCTGTCCCCAGCGCTGCCCTCCCCACGGAGGTCCCTTCCCACAACACACTCCCGCCTGCCATCACTCCTCCCTCAGACCTGCACCTTCACAGGGGTTTCTCCCTCAGCATCACTCTTGGAGCTCCCTCCGTGCGGGGCTCTCGCTCTCCCCAAACACAGCTCATCTCAGGAGGCAGCTGCCTCCAGCAATTCTCTGACAACACCCCCCAAATCTGCTCCCCCACCCTTCCCCAAACAGCTCTTCTGCTCGTACCCACCACACTTCAACACTTCCTCCGACTGCCACCTTCTCTCTCGGGGACCCCCCACCCCCAGCACCCCAACGCCTCGATTCCCGGGCAGCTCAGCCAGTCCCCACCCCCCTGGGACAGCATTTTCAGGACCCTGACATGAAGCCCCCCAGGCTGATGGAAGAGCTGCCCGTGGCCAGACGTCCTCTCAGCCCAAGGCCTCCACCACTGCTGCCCATCTGTGAATGCCCTGCACCCCCTCAGCTGGAAGGAGAAGTCCAGCACCACCCCAGCCAGGGACCTTCACTTACACCAGCTCAATGTTCCACAAGCCGGGTGGGAGAGGGTTCTTCCCACCAACCAAAAGATCACCCCGTTTCCAGAGGAGTCACAAGTCCCCCAAACGTGACAAACCACCAGCCGTGGCAGTTCTTCTCACAGCACTGGGTCCCGTTTATCCCTATCACTCCCCCTACCTGCGGCGTCAGGGCCCTCTACCCAGTAACTGCCCGTACTCCTGTCCTCCCAAAACCCCCCCAGCACCTCCAAAGCAGTAGATAACCAAGTGCTGCCCATCCACACCACCTGGAGAGCTTCCAGCAGCACATCACCAAACCCTTTCTCCTTTAACTCTCATTAAGCCTCCTGAGCCACACATGGAGCAGGCCAGCTGAGAGGGCCACCAGCCCCAGGAGCCATTACCCACGAAGTCCCCTCTCCCTCCCCACGGCACTTCCACAACTTGTTCCTCTCTGGAGATGACACAGAATGTGAATGAGGAAGGTATGCAAACAGCCACAGGTGAACATGTGCATTAAGGATTCTGTTGCAACTACTACAGCACAACACCAGGACCACCGGCACGGCACCAAGGCATGAGGAGACACAGCAGGGTGTGGGAGGAAGCGCTGGGCAAGTGACTGAAGAGATGGGAAGTGCCCTTCTGACCCAACAGCCCTCTCCGTCTGTCAATTCCTTCCAGCCCCCCGGAAACAAACACCTTTACCCACAACCACACAACGCACAGCTCCACGCACCAAATGCCCCTGAGCTCCATCTGCCCCAGCAGAAAGCCCCACCACCCCCTGAGCTCCACCTGCCCCAGCCGAAAGCCCCACCACCCCCTGAGCTCCATCTGCCCCAGCTGAAAGCCCCACCATCTAGCACACCAGCCGAGTCATGGGCACCACACACTGGTCTCCACCTCGACTTGGGGGGCAAGAACACATTGGTGGGGCCAGCCTGGTGGGACTGCCACCTGCATGGTGAGGTTTCGGTAGCCGCAGCACAGGACTTTGAGGCCTCCTGAGGTTCTGAAGCAGCAATGTGGAGCGTGGAACAGGGAGCCCCATCTCACTCCCGAGCTCAGATCCACACCACAGTGAACGCGAGCGGTCGGGCTGGCGGCTGCTCCAGCCCGCAGTGAGAGCAGCATCAGCAAAAAAAAGTGGAGGCAGGAAGATTAAAAGAAGATCCTTAAACTTTCTATGAAAAACTGTGGAATTAGCACACTTGCAGAGAAAGCCTTCCCTTATCCCTGCCTGCTGGAAGCCGCCTCACAACCCACCGCAGGGTTTCCCTGTCTCCCCAGGAGCCGGCCCAGCCTCACAGGCAGAGCCATCGTCCCCCGAAACCTTCCGTCCCCCCGGCTGGGAGTTTTGTTTGGGAAGCGCCTCCTCACCCCCCCCCCCCCCCCCCCCCCCCCCCCCCATGCCCAGCCAGGGGTGGGCTGGCAACCGGGGAGCCCGCAGCCGGCCCCACGGCACAGCACGGGGCAGGAGCAGCTCTGGGGACACAAAGTCAACCCTGGGCTGGGAGGAGAGGGTTTGGAGAGATGCCCACTTCCCCTGGGGGTCCCGGCAGAGCACAGTACCCACGGCCCTGTGTCACAGAGTGGGACTGACAACCCAGGGTCCGGCTGCAGGGACAGAGCCCCAGGGCCACATTGAGGAGATGTGACCCCACCACCGGGCAGCCCCGGGGCCTGGCCATCACCCCCGGGCCCGACCGAGGGACCTCTGGCCCTAGGGCTGGAGCTGCCCGGGGATGCCACGGCTCCACAGCCCCACCGCCGGGCCAGAGCCCCGCAGCCCCACTGCCGGTGCCGGGACCCCAGACGGGGCGGGCAGTGCCGCCGGTCGCCAGCCCACGGCCGGGCGGGACCGGGGCCCGCCGCAGGTGGGTGCCGCCCCCCCGCCGCCGCCCGCACTCACCCTTGACGGCTTCGCCCCGGTTGAGCTGGATCTCGCCCTCGCCCTGCGGCGCGTAGCTCTTCACCACGATGAACTTGCGGCCGGGCACGGCGCTGTACAGCTTCCGCTTGGGCCCGCGCAGCGGGGCGGG